GATTGCTATTATAGAGATTCTCAATTATTTTTTCTTTTTTTTTCTTCTTTTATTAGATAAAAACATAAGAAAGATGATTCATACCACAGCAACAGTATCACGTTTATTATATAAAGTGAATAAATCTATTGCTGTATTTCAGATTAAAAATCAATTTTCATTGAATAATCGAAATATGGCATCTCAAGGTTTCAATGTTGAAGTTATTAAAGAAGGATCAGGTATATACAAAATCATATATATCCTTTTTTTTAATGTTTTCTTGAAATAATTAATTAATTAATTATAATCTTTGTTTATAGGTGATAAGCCAAAAAATGGTCAAAAAGTATCGGTTCATTATACAGGTAAATTATATTGATAATAACTAAATTTTTTTGATAAAAATCGAAAAAAGAGAGACGTAGTTGAACTCATTCTTCTCTCAATTCTAGGAAGATTAACAAATGGTACAAAGTTTGATTCATCACGTGATCGTGGCAAACCGTTTGAATTTAAACTCGGAAAAGGAGAAGTAATCAAAGGTGAAAAATAGAAGAAGAAAAAAAGTGAAAAAAAAATATCAACTATGTTTTAACTTTTATTTGTTTTTTTCTTCATTAGGTTGGGATCAAGGTGTTGCTCAAATGAGTAAAGGTGAACAAGCAAAAATTACCTGTCCACCCGAGTATGGTAAGTAGATTAATTATGATGTACAAAGAATGTTCATAGATGGTGAGATGCTAGATCGTTTGAAGATAGAGTAGTATATGACTTTATTCATAAACAAAAAGATAAGTGATACAAGAGAAAAATAAAATTAACCTTTGTACTACCAAGCCTATTTTAGATACAACAAATAGAATGTATTCCATACTTCGATCCATGTAAAAAAAAGAATTTTTCATCTTATTTTCTTGTTTTGAGAACAGAGTCTAAATAGACCCTGGTTGATAGTACAAGGGTTAATGCTCCACTTTTACATTGACTATAGACGAACTTTATCCCTGTAGTCTGAACATTAAAAAAGAAAAACATATAGGAAAATATCATAATGATCAAACCATTATATACAAATCATAAAATATGAAAAAGTAATTCAAGAGAAAACGAGACACAGAAATGATAGAACTTCATTTAGTAACCGAAGACAAAGTCAAATAGGGAAGATCTTTGAATGCCGTGAAGTTTTTTAACGTTTTTATCAGTTCTACCTCTGCTGCAGATTAGATGCTTTTCTTTTAGTAACTGTGGGTTGACATAGTACTCCCGCAAAAACAATAAATACAGTTTATGTTGAATATAGTCACAGATCACACTAGGATTTGTGATCAGTAAAGTAGAGAGCAACTTTGTCCAATGTATTTGTGTCAACGCCTCTATAGATCTGTATCGGGTGGCCAACAACAAATGGCCCTCCTCATATTTTGTTTATAATTCTTTTTCTTTTCAATCCTTAGATCTGACTGTTTTTCCAAAAGATGTACCGTCAAAAATTTTCTACAAGACTTGATCAAACTTACTGTTATAGAAAGTTAAGGAGAAAAATTAAACGAAGAATATTCAACATAATGAAGCGGACCAACTTTCTAAGCTATTTTGTTTTACAAGTTTTAGAATATTTTAAGTAACTCTAAAGACAATGAAACAAAAGTGAAGATATTTTTGATCACTTTGAAGTGTGTTCTTTCTCGATATGCAGCTCACAGCTCGTTCAAATCTAAATGAGCACTGAAAAATCTAATTCAAAGTGACCAAAATCTGCTATTGTTCGGCAAGTGAATTTATGAAGAAAACTTTAAGCTAACTTTTACCGCTGAATCTGGCACAGGTGTCATTTCTGATCAAAATAAAAAAGAATCCAGATAAAAAGGTGCTATTTTGGCTTCGTTATGCAGCATTTTCAGGAGCTCCAAATCTACACGTTTCAAATAGCTGGATTTTGCAAAATCTCGAAGAGGAGAAAACCGATGTAAGCCTCAAAGATTCGATTTTGTATTTGTACACCTAATACTGGTTGATGAAGGGAGATTTTAAAGAGCTACGAAATGCATATATTCTTTTCTTTTTATCATTCAGTTTAATGAACGTAGTTGAACAAAACGTTTTTTCGGCTTAGAAAGTTGATCCGTTTCATTATGTTGAATATTCTTCGTTTAATTTTTCTCCTTAACTTTCTATAACAGTAAGTTTGATCAAGTCTTGTAGAAAATTTTTGACGGTACATCTTTTGGAAAAACAGTCAGATCTAAGGATTGAAAAGAAAAAAATATATAAACAAAATACGAGGAGGGCCATTTATTCTGGGCTACCCGATATCTTGGCAAACCCTCTCTATTTTAACGTTTTTAGCATCATACCCACCAAGAATAGGTCTAAACATTTGACGATTTAATACTTCAAGCTCCTGTTGTTTACTTATCGGAAGAATAGGGTACACATTAAATAGAGATTGAAAATGTGGACGAATGCTCTTTGAAGATAGTGATGATATCAGTATGATGAAAATGTTCATGTTGACTACTCCGTGAGAGAATTCTATGTAATCAGAAATACTATTTGAATCTATAATTGAAATTTTCATTTTGTTTTAGCTTATGGTGACAAGGGTGTTGGTGATGGTCTTATTCCACCGAAAAGTACATTGATCTTCGATGTTGAATTACTCGATTTTAAATGAACTTTTACCAAACAAAAAAAAAGTTATAAATGTCAAAAACAAACATTAGAAAAATATTTCAATAGACATCGTTTTTCTTTTTCTATTTCTCTATTGAATGTTATGTGTATTTGATGTTAGTTAATCAGTAGTTCATAATGTTTGATAGTGATGATTAGATTATGGTTTAATATCTGAAATTGAATTATACTTTTCTTGGTTACATTAGAACGATTTTCTTTTTTTCTGTTACACATTTAACAAATAAACATGTTAAAAGTTTTTGACAATAAATAGATGTTTTTTCACTTTTGAGATTCTCTGAATCAAGGCTAATTGTAAATACTTACAACGAAACAAGATGATTCAATAATTAAATTAATCAATATATATTTTCAGTAATTTGATCCAAACGAATCAAAATAACTTCTGTTTTTCCAATCGTTTGTTTGTTCAATTCAGAGATGGGCAAGTCCAAGTCCAGACTGGGTTGACGGAAACGAATTATCCATTCAATTTTGTTTTTCATTCCTTCACCCTTTAATGTATACTTAAGATCTTATTGCATTAAAAACTTGACCTTATTCTCCAAAGGGTTTCTATTTAGTAGATTATTTTGGTGGTATAAATCTCCCATCCTCGATCATTCTTGTTAAAACTCTCCTTTTCAATCCATCTGGGAAACATATAGAGGGACTGATCTATTGGTACCATTGAGCGTTGGTGTATTAGCTCTAATCAATAATGATCCTTTTACTGGTAGACGATATCTATGTTGTTCGGACAGTAAAATTCTAAAATTATTCCTTATTATCATATGTTCTGTATTTTGAAAGTGCTTAGCTATGGCTGATGTTGCTACTGGAGACTTTGTTTCTTGTCCTCAATGACCTGTAACGAGATTTCAAACCAATAAACTGATTGGATTTTGAAATTGTTGCCCTTTACCGATATTAAACCAAACTTCTTCTCATTTCATACATTGATGTTTGTCTAAACTAAGTCATAGACCTTCTACAGTTGCGTCCCTAATCAATTATTAAAACAAGAAAATATTGTGTCTGTATTAGTCTGAGTACTCTGCTTTTGTACAATTTGCTAGTTTTGTTTTTCTACAATTTGATTTGTTCCGGTCACCTTTGACACCGGCTATCTATTTAAACTTGACAAATAAATACACACATAGTAATTTGAGTTGAAATGATATAAAATCTTATTAAAACTTAAGACAAAACTCTATATGACAAAAATATCTGGTTATTAAACGTTGTGTGCCTTCCATATACTACGAGTATTAAGAAGTACTTTCAACCACTTCAGTTCCATGGATCAATGTACTTTCTGCTCCTGCTTGATTCTTTAAGCATTTTTTAAATAGAAAATCTAAAAAAATTGTATTAAATTAAAATCAACTGAATATACCACAATATCCTTGTTTTGTTGTTATTTCAATTTAAATAATTGACGTGAATGTTTCTTGATAGTGTCATCTATCATCTGGTTTTATGTTACAGAATAATCGATTTTAAGTTTTCTATTTTGTTGATGATAATAAAAAAAAGGCTGGCGAAGATATATGACGCCAATATCACCTTGTTTATCAATATTGTTGTTGTTGTTGTTTTTTCTAGATAACAACAAAAAAATGTCTCGTCTTGATCTACTTATTTTTGGTGCCACTGGATATACCGGTAAATATGTTGTTGAAGAATTAGCTCGTAAAAGTCAACTACAGCAAAATATAAAATGGGGTATTGCTGGACGATCGATATCAAAATTAAAACAAGTTTTAGATGAAATAACAAAAATAACTGGTAAATATAATTAAACAAATTATTTTTCCTTTTTTTTTGATAATAAAATCGTCAATATTCTATTTATTTATCTAGGAATTAATTTAAATTCTATTGAAACAATTGCAGCTGATATTAACAATGTTGAATCATTAACAAAAATGTGTCAAAAGACAGATGTATTGATTAATTGTGTTGGACCAGTAAGTTTTTTTATATTTATCTAAAATAATATTTTTATTATAAAAATGAATTTATCATTTTAGTATCGTCTCTATGGTTATCCAGTTATACAGGCATGTTTAAATGCAAAAGCAAATTATGTTGATATATCTGGTGAACCACAGGTTTTTGAATATTTTTTTTAAAAGTGATGTATCAACATCTGTTTTACTATTTATATATAAATTCTAGTTTTTGGAAACAGTTCAGTTACGATATAATGATGAAGCTGAAAAACAGGGTGTCGCTATTGTTGGAAGTTGTGGATTTGATTCAATTATAGCTGATATGGGTGTAGAAACGATACGTAAAGAATATGAGACAAAAAATCTTGGCAAGAGAAAATCATATATTGGAAAGAAAAATAATTTAAAAATGACGTGATAGTTTTTTTGTTTGTTTAGATATTAGTTATATTGAAAGTTTTTTAAGTCTAAAATTTGGACGAACAGTAAGTAAACATTATACTGTACTGATAATATGAAAAAATTACAATTGTTGCAAAAATTTTCCGTACGATCCAAACGTTTTTTTTTGTTTTAATCATAACCCAGCAGAAGAGTGGTCTTTCAGCAAACGGTTTTCCGGCTTGTTCACGTAACACGACACTTCGCTGATCAAAATTTTTTTTTTTTCATCGGGAAATCGATAGGAGCCCATCACTAGACGTAGTTTTTCGTGCTGATCATGAATTCGGGCTTTATTTTGACAAAAAACTGAATTTTTTCAATTAAAAAATTTTAATTTAAAATTTTTGAAAAGTTTAATTTTAATTTTCTGACATAGAGATTTTCGTAAAATAATTTTAAAAATATACTGTCGAATAGAGAATGCAATTCTCTAAAAAATGGCTCGTTTTGTTTTCAGAAATATTTCTCAGTCTAGGCACAAGGGCTGCTTGCAAGTTTGAACTCCCAACTCGATTTAAAAGTCTGAGGTACCTTTTGGAACTTTGTTTGCAAGTGGAGTATCTTCAGGAAGACTAGAAGTACTCAAGCTATAAATATGAAGTTGTCTGAAGAACGTTGAGTACCCTAAAATGGTGTGACAAAAAAATGTGTAACAGCGTTACATTTGTTTCTTGCTTTTTTTACGCAAGTAAAAATAGTTAAAAGAAAATATTTTTTACCGCCGAAAAGCTCGTTCAATGCTCTACAAAAATTGCTCTAGGGGCATTTCATTTGGAGAACGACTTTCGCAGGAGATTAGAACTCTAGAGCACTCCGAATTTAGGGTCTTTTTACGCGATGAAAAAACCTTTCTCGAGGCTCCAGACTTCAACCAAAAAACTTCGTTTTTATAGGTTTTATAATATACATAGAGTATGATGAGCTGCATCGAATGGTGTTTGAACGAACCTTTTAGCTCTCAAACTTTCCGAGATAATTGAGAAAAAGTGTATAAAAAATGTAACAACGTTACGTTTGGACAAGCCGCTTCACCAAAATGTTGCCTGTTCGTCGAAAAAAAATGTAAAATATTGATTATTCTTGTCTGTAGGTTGACATCAATGCTTGAGTACCTTCTCATCGAGTATCGAAGAGCTGCAAAAATTTTCCGTACGACTATGTTATTGATTTTTTGACCCGCCAGGGAAGTTTAAAGCCATGAAAACTATACCAGCGGAAAGCAGAGAAGATAATAAACATTTTCATAAAAAAAGTTTTTGAAAAAAGCTTTCTCGGGTCCGACAAACTGATTTCAAGGTAAAGTTGACATGGTCAACATGTAAACTCTGCACCTCGGTAATGAATGGATGAAAGTTTTTGTTAGACATATCAATGGAAAGAGCATCAGAAACTACGTAAGAAAATGGCTGATTTAAATTTTACGAAAAAAAGTAGATACATTTTTTTTTTCTGTTTGTTATGAATCTCATTCAAAGCATCTTCATTTTTCCAGGTTTTTTACTTTTTATCATTTTCTTTATGACTTATTTATATTCATTAAAATCGCCATTAAGTGAGCTTTAAAAGTACGGATCGCCTTTTTCTTTTATTTTGCTTTATAACTAAGAGAATATATTTTTTTCTAAATCAGGAGCGAAAAATCGGAATTCTGTCTGTAATTCTCTATTTTCTCAACTAGAACTCACCTTTTGTGCAATAAAAATATCATATTCGGCGTCAGCACCGAAAACTCAGTCGAATGATGTACTTTTTTATCCTAACCCGTTACTTTTGTTTTTTCTGAAAGTTACTGAGATTCTCACCAAAAAAGGAAAATCAACGAAAAATTTCGAAACATATATCATTCGACTCAGTTTTCGATACTAGCGCCGACTCATTACTGAGGTACAAAGTTTACATGTTGACCATGTCAACTTTACCTTAAAACCAGTCTGCCGGACCCGAGAAAACCTTTTTTACGAAAATGTTTGTTATCCTCTCCGCTTTCCGTTTTTTTGCAGCAGTACCCGCCCTCTCCCCATAATAGAAGACCATCCTTTATTAAAAGACTATTGCCGAATATATGACTTGAAAGCCAAATAAAAAAAATGACTGTTTGTTTGGTTTTTTATTAGGGTTATGCGGTCAATTTTGGCACTTGGGAATCAGCTGTTCACGGTTTATCACATGCACATGAATTAAAACCATTAAGAAAAGAATTATTTCCACAAAAAGTACCTTATTCAAAGTATAAAAAAGAGCGGTAAGTCAATAAATTTGTGTAGTGTCATGTTTAAAAACTTTTAATATTTATTCATTTAGATCTACAATATTTTCAACAACATTTGACGGTATCAAAGATAAAGTTTGGTGTTTACCATTTCCCGGTAGTGATAAATCAGTTGTACACCGAACACAATATTTTAATCATACAAAACGAAATAAAAATCCGGTAACTGAGAAATATGTCATTTTCTATAATTATGAATTAAATAATTTATTTTCTTTTTAGATTCGTTATCAACCCTATTTTGAATTGTCATCATTCTTTTCATTAATTAAACTTATCATTGTTTCAATACTTTTTAAAATATTAACATCGTGTCAATTTGGTATTCAATTGTTACTAAAAGTAAAAAAAAAATAACGAATAATTTTAGCATTATTTGACAATAGTCTAACTAACATTTATATCTATTTTAGTTTCCAAATCTATTTTCATTTGGTGTAATTACACACGAGGGTCCAACACGTGAACAGGTTGAACTTTTTAGTTTAAATATAAAACTTTTTCTAAGATTTCTAGATTTTTGTGTTCTTTTTTTATTTTATTTTATTATGAATAGTGTGAAGAAGCATCATTTAAAACGCGATTTGTGACATATGGTTGGAAGCAAAGTTTGAACGAAGTACATACAACAAAACCTGATATAGAAAGTGTTCATGAATTCACTGGACCAGGTAATTAATAGAAATATTGACGGTATTAGAATAATAGAACATATATGTTTTTTCTTTCAATTTTGAGATCCCGGTTATATTGGCACATCAAAAATGGTATTAGCATGTGCTCTAACATTACATGAAGAAAAAGATCAATTACCATTAAAGTTTGTATCTAAAATAGTGTGAGATGATGTGTAAAAGAGAAAATATAATTGTTTTTTATTATATTTTAGAGGTGGTGTATTTACTCCCGGTGCAGCATTTTCATCGACAAAGTTAATGCAACGTTTAGAAAATGATAATATTATTTTACGTAGAAATAAAACCGCTTCAGAACAGTCTTCATGAATTAGTTAGAAAATCTATGATTTTAAATTAAATTTTTACTCATTTATTTGATTTTGATTTGAGAGAATGTCATTTTTATGGTCTTTTTAGTGTTAAACACGTCACATTCGTATATGATTCAATGATTATTTTTCTATTTTATTCTATTGACATTTTTCATAGTTGATTAAAGAGGGAAAAAAAACCGTCAAAAGATAAAAAAATCGTATTGATCAATGGATAAAACGTTTTTGAGAAAATATCTTGGACATATCTGACATATTTTTTTGATTGAAAACCGTCTATCAAATATGTCGTTCAATGGAACTAATAGGTGAATCAAAAATAATAGTTCTGTCAGTATTTTTTTACAGAAATGGTTCGATAGCTCTATTTATTTTCCAGTGACAAGGTGAAAAGGTGAGAATTTTCCTTTTTTGGTTAGTTTTCATCAAATTGCTTTTTGTATCAGAAAAACACATTCAGAGCAAACCTCTGATATCCGAAAAGAAAGATGATCCATGCAAGTGTTCGGTGGGTAAATCGGCTAGTCCATTTTATGTTTTCGACGTCCATGAGAAGCCAAAGTCGACTAGTCAGAGTGCTATTTTCCGACGGGCAGACTAGTCAGTGATGGTTACTGACTACTGATAACCCGGTTACTTACTGAATAACCTGTCCACATTGATCTAACCCGACTAGTTTTCCACTAGTCGACAAAGAATTTTGACTAGTCGAACGATAGTCGGAATATCCGTCGACCGAAATTTTTCATCTGCTTGGGGACAGTTCAGAGCAGCAGAACATACACTTCTGATTCAATTTTGATGGATGAAACTTGATGTAAAATATATATTTTCTTGTTGTATTCTAAGTTAGAAAGCGGTGAAGAGTGACGGTTTGTAGTATTTCACGTTATTTATTCACGTATTTTGGTTATTGACGAGATTTTAGATCTGAAAAATGAAGAAAACTCTCAAATACTTCTAGAATCCTCGACAAGAAATATTTATAAAGTAAAAATTTACTATCTTCAAAATTTTTGCCAGTGATATCCTATATTCATACGACTCACCAATATGAAAAAGCATAATTGACGAAAAAAGAGTAAGTTTAGAAAGAATAGTGCAAGTAGGTTGAAATAAACTTTGTTTACAAAACTATCCAGTTGTAGTTGGTAGTATGATTATAAATAGGGAAACTTAGTTTTTGTTTTAATTTTTCATTACAAACTCCGATAAAGTAGTCTGTTATGATCGCCGGACATAAGGGGAAAAGACGGAGTTTGGAATGGAGTTCGTATTGACAAAAATCAATGAAATATAACAAAAAACAGGGTGTTCGGAATGAAATTTGTCCAGAAGTTCATAATTCTGACAATCGCTTTTTACAGATTGAACTGTGAAATTTTGACTGGAGGTCGGAACGAGAATGTCTGGAAGTTCGTAATGACAAAGACAGGGAGGTCGTAATGAAAACTACAGGGTGTTCGGGATTATGTTCAGTTTGCTTACCTTTGAGAGAATGTGAAGTGACATGCTAGTCTTGCAACCTAAAATGGTGATTTTACGAATTCCCTGTCAATGTCATTCCATTCCTCCGGTCTTTTTCTGTAAAAAGTACCCTTAGACTTACATTCCGAACACCTGACCTTGTTCATTGCAATCTTCGGCCGCTACATCAGATATAGCAGGGAGCATTCTATTCCGAATATCCGGTCAAACTATTCTGATTTCCCTGCGTTTCCATTACGATCTCCCGTACAAAAATGCTTACGAACTAGTGTTATAAATCTTTTAAGGACAAAAACTAATTACCGAACACCCGGATACATGTCCGGAATTCGGAATGACTTACGACGAAAACTAAGGCATCCTATAAATACAACGTATACCGTTCCATAAGATTTGAAAATGTGATTCTAATCTCCTATCTTTCAATTACTTTAGCATTTGTTATCATACCAAAAAATTTATCTCACAACTATTATTGCTTTTTCTCTCGGTCGTCATATAATATCTTTAGCTATCAGCTGAGTTGGATATTCTCTTTTATCTAGAAGTAGAGAAAAACTCTCAACGCATAAATTTTTCTGTTACCAAATCATTTAATGGTATCTTTCTGTTCAACAAATTGTAAAATATCTAAAAGAAATTCATATTCATACTGATGTACTTTTATTCTATACATTTATTGAACTTGTTTCTTCTTCTTTTTTCTCAGCTTTTTATCCAGACACTTCGTGTGTATAAGTGATTTTGTTTCTGATAATGATACTTTTTATATAGCGCGAAAGTACAGAAGCTATAACAGTGGCGGACTCAGTCGTTGTGGGTTACGTACGCTCGCACGTTCCTTTCGAACAAAAAAACTATTTTTTCTCAGCAGAACTGCCTCAGAAATATTTGTAGTATCGCACGCATCTGGTACTTTTATTGTGTGCCGCACGTACCAAACAAAAACGTTGAATCTGTCACTGAGCCCTGAAGGAATACATGTCTATAAAATATGATGATGGTTAGAACATCATCCATCAATGAATACATTGCTCGCACTGCAGAAACTCCCTTTCTTTAGCAATAGCACATAAATTTAAATTTTGTCTTGTCGAGTAAAATCTGTAGACGAAACTGTGACTTTTTCTATAAAATATGCCGTTTATACATAAAATAATTCACACAATGAGACAGAAACCGATCTCTCCCATATCTTGCTATTACTCAAAACTAACAACTGATTTCATGACATACGACTGATTGTTGATTGATTCTTGTTGTAAGATTGTGCAAGTAGATAGCTGACTCAAACCACATTGAGTATGGACCATTTTCACCAGATCTTTCAGCTAACAATAACAAATTTTGAATGAATGCCCAATTTTTGGCAAATATTCAATAGAATTATGTTTGACATAACTGGTTGTGATCCATCGAATAATTATAACTAGTTTACTATTATTTTCACTCCTTTATAGAAATTCATAGTCTTTGAACTAGTTGTTCTCTGCCTTTTTATGACCGAATTATCCACTAAAAAAAATTCGTCGTTATGACATATTGTTTGTAATACAGTAGACTCTGCTATTGCGAGCACTATTTATTTATCACCGCCTTCCGGCGATGCTTTGAATTTGACTTTTTCATACCTTTATCATGCTAAATCATAACTAAAGAATAATGAAAACTCTAAATCTTTACCATCCGTAACCATTTTTTTCTTATTTGAAATATATAGAATTCGAGTTAATTTTATGATTGTTTGCATATTGTACAGTAGCAAAATATTTTTTCAAATAAATTAGATCAAACACACTAAATGGAAATAATTCTACTTTTTATTTTTTTTAAAAAGTAAAATTTGTTTTCGTTTATTTTGTCATCGTTGTTCAGAGCTAATCTTTTCGATCAACTTTATGATTTTCGAAAAGAATTCCGCTATATGTATATATATATAATATCGTTTAGATTCAATAGATCAAAGAATGAAGTGTTCAACATTCGACGTAATGGATTTTTTAGTCTCTCTCTATTATGATTGAAATAATAATAGACCGTTCACAATTAGATAATAAAAAAATAGAACGTCAAGTGGAATAAAGCACGTGTGTTTATTTATCGTCTTAAACTCAACATTTTTTTGTTTTTTTGTTTGATAAAAACAATAGAAAAGATGTACACCTTATTGTATTCTGATTACTTAAACTCTTAACTGTTCTTATCATCATTCTTTGGACTAAAAATGTAGATTATAGTTTGTACATCTGCACAGTAACGATCATATGTTGTTTCTTTCAACGTTTTAGAGAGAATTATTTAAAATATTTAGATGAAAACGAGAGATTGTATTGTGTGTAACAAAATAGTCACTACGGATAAAGTTAGATGTACTAAGAGAAAATGGTAAGGTCGTTGCTCAGATCGATCATTGTAATTATTCGATGCCATTTGGAGAAATTTTTATTTCTGTTCACTTTTTTGAAAGGTACACTCTGAAAAAATATCTAGCTTATGTTTTTCATCTTTTTATTTCGTCCATTCATACTTTAAGATGTTTGTTTCAAGTCGTTCTTCCGTCTCACTTCTATAATTGATGGAAAAGTGATATATCTCTTTTGTTTTGCGTTTGTCACTCGTGCATGAGAAACAATGATCTTGTCGAGAAAAACTTGTCAATTTATTTTTATTTCTTACTAAAACGATTGACATGGTCGATACTTATGATGCTCTCACGATTCTTTAACCGGACAAGTTCTCTAACGGCTAATAATGAAAATCAGATGTAAAAATAGCTCACGTTAAGGAAAGACGAATCAGTTTGTTCGTAATAAAATAAGACAGCAAATAGTTGCATTGATTTAACGTAATATAACTTATATTACGATAAATCAATGCAACTATTTGCTTGATTTGAAAAGGGAACGCAGTGTGTTTGATGTCTACCGTTGAATATACCGTGAAAATCTCCAACGAAGCCACCGGGTCCACAAAATGGGGGAGGGGGTTGTTCCAACGAGATCTTTGCGCTGTACAACGTAACTCATCGCCTTGATTCCGAATATGTAAAAATTCCGAGGTAATCTACTCTAGAAAAAACCCATTAAATTTTGATATGAGACAAAAGAACATAAGGCGCATCCATTCGACTGTTTTGTAACTGAGTTATGCCGTTTCAGTTTAAGATGGATATTCTTTTTTAGAGCGTATGTATATACGTGTGAGTCAACAGTGATGAGTGAACGAGTGAGTTATCAATTGTTAATTTCTATTTTCTAAGCAAAGTACTTACAAGAAAAATATATAGATTTTTATTTAAAAAAATATATAATTAACCGTGCTTAATAGTCTTATTCATATGTGTCGGCCAGAAGATACCTTTTATCACCAGGTGATGTTACGATCTTCAGATTTCTTGGGTGGGGATCAGTGACTCTCAAGACCGCTGTAGAGGTAGTATGAAAGCCTCTCACTTTCTCTTTTGTTGAGAAAAAGCAAAAAGTTTTGACTTATTGGATGGATGTCATCTCTCACTACATTCCCGTGTTATCACTAGTGTCATCCAGTATTGAAAACCGAATAGAAATTTTATAAATTTGAAATAAATGAAGTGCTTGGTACCATCCCTCCATTATCCTCATTTTGCAATCAACATGTTATTCTGATACTACAAACTGTCAGATGGACGATTAAGTGTCTTGGTCGTAACTAGTGCCTTGTGACTTGTTGATGCCTTAGTGATATTTATCGAAAGCATTTAAGCTACTTTTATCAAAAAAAAAAGTAGTGAATTACAGACATGTTTTGTCAAGACATCAAGGCGACTAAGAGTAAAAAGATGAGAAAATGCACCTGATGTGCCTTCATTACGCGTGGTGGATGCATTTTGAAGCCATTAGAATGGTTTATCAAGACACGCTTTTTTGACAGTGTAGACTCTACGTTACACTGCGAAAAAAAGTGCCCTTGTATGAGATTTAGGGCACATGAAAGTGCTCTAAGTACGTCACAGTCAATGTGGCAACAAAAAGCAGGCACTTTTTTTTTCGCGGTGATTCAGACTGTTTTATTCACGAAAAGTGGACCGTTTGATCCAAGAACAAGTCCGATTTACAGATAAAAAAAAAAGAGTTTCTTAATTAAAACTAAATCAAAGATTAACAAGAGTTCTTCTATGTACCCCAATAATAATTATTTTATATTCTCTTTAATATGGTATATTGCACGATTGTATCTGATGGGATCCTGCTGTTATAATGCATCACTATTATATCGGTGTTCGCTCAAATTTTAGAGGAACCTGATTCCATTGAGAATCACAAAATATATGGATACAAAACTTATTTTTTCTTACAATATTGGAAATAATAAAATATTTAATAATAAAATTTTCTTTCAAAATGGGAATAAATCATTCAAATTTCGAGTATGACACGTTTTATAATAGAATTAGACTATGAAAAATAATGATACGAATATTTTAGAACTTTATTTTGTGAAGTCAATTAGAAAATGATAACACTTACTTGTATTAAATGAGAGAATTCTTATTCATTTCAGTTTTCAATGTTCACTGATCAATTCAAAAAATTAATTTTATATTCTAACAAAACATAAGTACAAAAATATAATGTGTTTTCTTCTCTTCTTTTTTTTTCTTCAAATTTTCAAGTGTTCAAAATATACTCAACATATTTTTGTCTAGTAGCAAATTGCAGCTGCTTTTTATTGTCATTGGAGAAATATATTGATTGGACGGACATACAAGTAAAATGAAAAAAAAAGAGAAGATATTTATGTTTAGTTGAATGATTTATGATTGTTCAAAGCTAATGACCAAAGACAATTTAATTGGCATTCACACATTTTTTTTAATTATCGTCTTAAATATTAAACGTACAACTCTATACATATATATTTAAGTTATCAATCAATCAGACAAAATCATACCGCTATGAATGAACAATAAAATGATAAGCTAAAAAATTGTCTATTGTTTTTCTCTGTAAATCATAGGTGGAATTGTTTAAAAGAAAACAAACACATGATCTATTTCCCATCAAATTAGACAATACACGTGTACATTTATAGGATTAGAGAAAAAAATGTTTAAAAAAAAAAACGTTTGAAAATAGACAAAATCTTTTGCTAATTATGGAATTAAATGTGATTAATCATTCAACCGTAGGCTATAAGAAGAACTGAATATGGACACAATTTGTTGAATGATGTTGCTGTGTTACAACGTAATGATTAAAGAATGAAACTAATGTAAATGTAAAAGTGTTGAGAGTTTTTATTTTTTTTGATTATACTTTTAGGTTAGGGAATTGAATTTTAAAATTTTAACTTTTGTAAAGAAAAAATGACTCAATTTTGTATTTATGTGAACAAATATCATATACTCATTACTTTTTGTAAAGATGATTTCAACAATGAATGGATATTTCTCATTTTTAAACAGTATTTTACTGTGTGCATATTGTAAAGTTTTTTTTGATGAACATTCTAACATTATTTTTTAGTGTAACTTTTGCCGTTTATTCTAAGTAATATTAAGCGATAAATTTGGACTTATTTGAAATTACATGGAGAAGAAGTTTAAGAACGACTAGTGTAGGGGAAAAACATTTATTTTTGTCCTTTATAGATCAACGCTCTCTTCTTGTGGAATATTACTGAAAAATGTGAATATCTACGAACATCTTCAAACTAAAATCTGAGTTAGCCAATCGATAGAACTTGTCGAGCTGAGTATAGCAACGCCTAACGAACACTCCAAAACGTGTGCCAAATTCATTTTCAGATTGTTCTGAGACGACTACTGGTACCATTTTCAACTGGAACAAAAAATCGGGTTGAAAATGGTACCAGTAGCGATTCAGAACAATCTAGAAATGAATTTGGTACACATTTTGGGGTGTTCGTGGATGTTCATTGAAAATGTACGCTTAAAAAGCGAAATTATAAAACCTTTTTTGAGTGTTCATTAGGCGTTGCTATACTCAACTCGACGAGTTCTGTCGATTGGCTAACTCAGATTTTAATTTGAAAATATTTGTGTCTTTTAGTAATACTCCTTCTTATAAGTTAGCTCGAGGTACGCTTCTTCATATACCTGGACTCTAGTGTATACTAATTCAAAAAAGTTTAAAATTATTACATACGATTCTCGTATAAGTATGAAATACAACTACGATGTCAAATAATAGAAATAAAAACTAACCAAAAACGTGGTATTACTTGTCAATATGTACTTTTTTGGAAGTGTAATATGAGTGAAGAAAGGTATTCTTACTGAAAATCTTGGTCATTTCTCTAGATAATGTTACTTTTTTGGATTCTTACCACTTGAAAATTTTTATATAAAAGTAGGATCGTTGTCAACCCAACTATAATAAAGATCAGTTTTCATTGTATAAGTAAAATGATCTAGATTTAACCATTTTGAAGTGTGGACAGATAAAATATATATACGTATACCTTTTAATAAACAAATATTCATACAACACATTATAACTTAGGATTCTCTATTTACCAAATGAAAAAAAAAAAAACGTTTTAACAAGTGTAACAACAGTACATAGTTGTTCGATCAACATATATACGAATTAGTATTATTATCAAATTTCACTAGTAGTCAAGATAAATATACTAAATAACAAAAAAAAAAAAAAAAAGAAAAAAAAAAAGCGGGATTATTTTTTTTGTTTTTAAATATGTTTTGACAATGAAATGATTGTCAACTGATGATCCGAAAGTGTTTTTTTTTTTCTTCTTCTCTTCTATAAACGAGATGAGCTATTCTATGTGATTCAAAACAAAGAAAAAAATATTTTTCGATGTTAATGATGTTTATTCTAATAACTAAACGATCGGTGTTATTTAACTGATTCAATCATTTTTATTCCCTCTTTTTCTTCAAATTTTTATCAGTTCTGTTAATGTCTCATAGAAGATCTTATTACCTGATTATCTGATTGGTGACAATATTTATATTCTGTTCGTGCACATCTCAATATATATGTATATATCAACCTGTACTTGTGATTGGTTGTTGTTGATTTTTTCTCTATTTCTTAAAAAGAAAAAGGAGAAAAGAAGAAGAAAAAGAGCAGATAAAAAAAATGAGTCGTTACTAGTTGCCACTTTATTCTTGAACATTAAATGAAGTAAAACATGTCGGGTACAAAAATTATTAAACCAATTGCTACCTATGCAACAACACCATATTCATTTCATCTACATGAACAACCAACAAAATCAAAACCATTGGTTGTAGCTGGTACAACACTTAAAGAAGGTTCATTAATTTATCTTCTTCATCGTTTACCTGCCAATTTTTTACTTCAACATTTTTATGATGATACAAAACAATATGATAAAATTCCAGTAAGTTATTTTCTAGAAAAACTATGACTATTGATATTTGAAATAAAAGAAAAAACGTTAAGATTAGATGTAAATTTGTAGTCTTCTGTAAGTTTAGATATAAAATTTGAATTTAATTTTCCATTTTTTTTATTTATAGATTCAAGAATGGAATCAACATTTAATTGGTCCAGGCTTATTTCAAGAATGGATATCGGCAATTCGTAGTGCTCGTAATCCAGATGAACAAAATTTAGAATTATTTGAAGATACAATTACACTTGGATTTCGTACAACGCGTACTATTTTACCCGAAGAACCATTATTAGCTTGGTTCAGTTTACAACAATTGAGAACAATATGTGAAAGAATTAAAATGACAAAAAAATTCAAAGTTGAAGAACTATTAAAATGTAAGATAAATAGAAAAATATTACTTTTATTTTCTTTTATTTTTGTGTATGAAGAGAAGGTAGATGAGTGGATATATATTGATAAATTGACTAGAAAATATATTTTTGTTTGTTTATTTTTTAGCCAGTAAATGTCCTCAATGTAAAGTTGATTATTTACATATTAATGTTTTGGTTGCTCATGTTCTCTTAGATGAATGTACAAATAATACAAACATCAGAGATTCTCATACTGTATGCAAATTAATTAAAAAACGTTGTTATTCTAAAACGTCTCGTGAAATCGATCAAACATCTACGTCATCAATTACATCTTCAACACCATCAAATCTTACTGAAGAAGTAAAAACAGATCTTGTACAACGTCCATCATTTACGTCAAATGATATGTCGTATAAAATGAGTGTGTTAGATGGAACTCATGCACTAGAATTTAGTACAATGGATTTTGAAGGATGTCAACGTAAAGCTCATTTATGTTTATTTTGTGGTAAAGTCTATAATCGAAAATATGGTCTTAAAATTCATTTACGTACACATACCGGTTATAAACCGTTAAAATGTCGAGTTTGTCTAAGACCATTTTCGGATCCAAGTAATTTGAATAAACATATTCGTTTACATTCTCAAACAACAACATCATTTTTAAATCATAAACAACAACATCCTTATAAATGTGAACAATGTGAAAAAGTGTTGGTAAGAAAACGGGATCTAGACAGACATATGACATCAAGACATCCATCACATCTACAAGGAAATATTTATTCAGACACGAGTAGCGAAGGACAAACATCAAGTAGTAAAACAGAAGAAGGTGACATTTGACTTATAATTTGCTGTATAAATTGCTTTTAATATTTATTTAAGAATTAAAATCTTTACTTTAGAGAAACAAGGACTCTTGAAGTATAACGGTTAATGAAATCAGTCAACAGTGATGCATACAATTACTTTGTAATGATAAATTTCCTCAGTATCTCATATGTAGATGAATCTTTGAACGAACAACTTTGAAAACAAAGGATCATGTCATAAACCTTATGGAAGACCTTATGGTTACACGAATCAGATGCTAAAGTGATCAAACGTATCTGTTTTCAGTTAGATGTCATCTAAAACGCATTTTAAATAAAACTAACATGCCGTGGCTTAACTAACGCATATTCTGTTTTTGATTTCGATATTCATGGTGGTGAGGAAAACTTCTTTAAAACTCACGTTTTTACTACTCAACGCTTTTTTCTAGCAGCAGAGGACCTCCCACATGATATTAAAAATTTTGCTTAGAAATACATTCCGATGTTCTTCTCTCAATGTAACTACTCACTTTGTTGAACATTTGATGTTTATCAACCAATAGAATATCACAAAGTCAATGTTTAGTGATTTATCAAATGATGACTTTAAACTACTATGACAAAAAAACAACAACTGTTGAGATCTTTTGATTGCAAAAGATGTTTCGATATACAGACAAGTGGTATAGCCAATAAAAATAATGCGTAGAAATATAATAAGTGATTTCTCATAAAATTTACAATGAATAATGAGAACTAAACTAGAGACAATTAGAGAAAGACCCCTTACAAATCTTTCGTTTACATTTATAAAGGATTGCGTTGTATATGGAGAATTGAAAACAAATACAATAATATTACAGATCACCATCGAGTGGTAGACCTGTTATATACTTACTCTTTCCACTAAACACTATGCTGTGTAGTGGTTAGTGATTAATTATCTCCTTTCGAAAAAGAATATACATGTACAGTATATAATATGTGCATGACGAAGTTCGTCACTATCACTAACTTGAATTAAAAACGTGCAAGAAACAAGAAAATATACGATAATGGAACACGTTTTAGTTAAAACATATAAAACGTTTCTTCCACTTCTTGACACTTTTCTTATGTTCAGTCATCGAGTACGAGAAAAAAAGCATCAATTTTCTTGGTTTACAGCTCGAGATCTTGACAAAAAATGTAAAAAGGTTTTACCAGAGACGTGACTGTTAATTTTTCTCATGAAGATGAATGATTAAATTCTTGAAAATGTACTTTTAAAGTCAAGCGCTAAGTCAAATATTGCAAGAAGAACAAAGAAAGAAAACTTGTCTCGTAACCGCATGAATTAACGTTAATACTTAAGCTTCAACTAATATTTCATACAGTTACGTCTACTCGTCTGCAACCTGAGGAAAGTCTC